GAGGTTAATATTTTGAGAAGCGAGCTCGGAGTTTCTAAAATCAACATTCTGTCCGTTTTACGGCGGCGACTTAAAAATTAAACCGAGGGTAACTTTTTCAATCCAATCTTCCTCTGCACTATGTGCGGGGAGCGCGAGTCATCGAACTTGGATCTCGAGGCCTGTTGCATATTCCGGAAAAGGATTAGCAGATAAATAGGCCACCGCCAAGAGGTCTTTTTGCTACGAACTCGTCTGGCAAAAGTTTGCGAAAGGTTATTGAATCGACCGAAAGCTTCACTACATTGCCAATTCTGTCTCTCCACTTTCGGACTCGCTGTCCCTCATACGAATACCATTACACTAAAACTCGAGTTCATTATCTGGTAGAAAGCTCCGTTATTGCATTCTAATTTGTTCATTTAGATTACAAGATAATCATCTGCTTACGGCTCTGTGACGGACCCAATTTACGTGCAGTTTTGGTAAAGACACATTGACGTTGAAACTACTGTACTACGTATCTCGTTTGCGGTGTTTGAAAATCTCCGCTCCCATTTTATTTTCTTTGAAGGAGAAAAACTCAATACTATTCCTTGAAGTTTTCACCGAGTTTTTTTTTGCTCAGAGAAGAAAATTCCAGGAAGTTTTCGAGAATTGACTTTAGGTCGTATTTCCCGTTATTGAAATAAAGTATGACAGGAAGTCTACGACATCCCAAACTGAGATACTTAGTCTTGTAGTTCCACCGTCGAATTAGTACCTTGTCTACTGGTTCATTATGTACATGTTCTCATTGTGGTACACGATACAAAATTAGCCCTATCATGTAGCGGCAGACTTATATAACTTTGTATTTCCCACCTCCTCTTACCTTTCCCCAACCTTGGCACAGTTGTTACTTCGTCACGCGGTCAATTTATACGAACCACATCTGCCGTGCTAACACAGTGAAAGCGCCGTATGAACATCCTCGTTCAATTTGCATGAAAGTTTATGTTTTTCCTTGAAATTTTCAGACGTTTTGGATCAAATTACAAACAAATCTCCCTGAGAAGTCGGGAGAGATATGTACACTTTTCTCGAAAATTCGTGATTTCTCAGAGGAAATTTAGCAACGTTTGAAAGCTCATACGGCGTTCTTCCTTAGCACAGCCACCGTTATTACTTTGCCAAGCGGTCAATTTATACAAACCACATATCCCGTGCTAAGTGAAAACGCCGTATGGACATTCGAACGTTGCCAAGTTTTTTCTCAGAAAACAGTTATTTTTGAAGAAAGTTATGCATGTTTTGCCTTGAAATTTTCAGATATTTGGATGAAATTACGAACTAAATTCCCTGAGAAACTTGGAGAAATATGTTCACGAATCTTCTCAAAAATTCATGGTTTTTCAGAGGAAATTTATGCATGTTTTTCCTATACATTTTCAGACTTTCAGATCAAATTACGAACAAAATTCCTTAAGGAGCCGGGAGAGTTATGTTCACAAATTTATGATTTTTCAGAGGAAATTTTTCAGAGAAAAGTTATTCCTAGTAAAAGTGAATCAGCGTGACATCAGGCTGACTCACTTTCACAAGGGATGCATGTTTTTCCTTAAAATTTTCAGACATTTTGGATCAAATTATGATAAAAAGTCCCTGACAGACCGGGAGAGATATGTTCACAAACTTTCTCGGAAATTCGTGATTTTTCAGAGGAAGTTTGGCAACGTCGGAAGGCTCATACGGTGTTCTTCTACAAAGCACGGCAGACGTTGGTTCAAAGACATCGACGATGGATTTCTAGCAGTGCTCCCATTCCATGTTCGTCAAAAGTTCCGGGATTTTGAACTGTTTTGTTCCGATTTCTCCCACTCTATGACCGTCAAAAGTTCCGGGATTATTTTTACGTTTTTCCCAAAGTTCCGGAAAATGCAAAAGATCCAAGACATTTCGGAAATTTCAAAAGTTCCGGTGAAACTATGCAAAAGTAAACAGTTTACTGAGGCTTTGGACTAAATAAAATATAATTTGGTGACTTACACTAAATCCCACCGATTGAATATTCAGAAAAATCTCAAAAGTTCCGAAATTCGGCTTTAGTTCCGAAAAATAGGAGCACTGCTTCCTAGCGGCAACGTGGCAAGATGGCCGGATGCCCAGTTTGCCAGCTGCCTACAAGACGGAGCACGTGACTCCGCCAAGTTCTGCCCGACGAACTTGTAGCGCACAAACTTATAACCTCACCCGCGAGACCTTTTTCATGATAATTTCCGGCTTCGAAGAAATTAAGGTGAACGTGAGGATTTAACTCGGGCCCGAGACCACCTGCGTTAACTCTCGCCTCTCCCGGCTCCTGTCTTTTCGGCCGCATAAAATATCGATTAAAATCACGGCCGGCGGGTCCTCCAGATGTAGACATAATTTTCCTGACAAGTTTGCCCTAAAAGTTGATGCATCCCCGGCTCCTTCGAAGCCATTTTGCCGAAAATCGCTGTGTTCTTTACGATCATTTTCAACTGGATCGCGTTAAGCAGAAAGGAACCAAGCCACGTCCTTTATTCCCAATAATTCGGGAATTTACTTGTTTACACGTATGAAAACGGTTGTGCCGATTTTTGTGCAAATTTCAGTGAATTTTCTGTAAAGCACGAAGTAAATTCCTTAAAATTGTCAAAGGACTCCGCGTAAACGTTCTCTTGTAAAAAATTAAATTGCCCAATTAAATTTGGCAACAGCTAATGTGACTTCCTTTCTGCTAAACACGGTCCAATCGGACTACATTTTGCAATTTTGACCTATAGAGTCTAGCCCGGTTTAAAAACAACGTATGTGCCGTTAGTTTCCCTATGCACACAAGTGTTTTTTCAGATGAGCCAGAATTTATAGCTCCAAATTGCAAAATCCAATTATCCTAAAGATAATCCAATGGGCGCAATGGATTACATGAAAAGGAGGGGGAGGGTCGTTCTTTAAAACGGAAGGTAAAGTGATTTTTCTCAGGTTTTCGGTATGGTCCTACTGGCTGGCATGTGACCCAGGTTTGATCCTGGCGGCTGGTGACTGACTCTTAACGAGGTCGCAGATATTCATCCCAAAGATTTGGTCACCTCAACCCGAAGATTTGGTCAGTTTGGCACAGGGAAAACTAACGCCAAAAAAATCGACCAACAGCTTCTGTCACTTTGCGTTTACCCCATAGGATTTCGATTACATTTTCTTACTGTAATAAAAAGGAGTTGTTTAAAAAGCGACCATGTACACGGCCCTTAAACCCACAACAACAAATCGCGCCGCACATCGAGGCTCTCAACAGACTGTTGCGGACAGCGTAAAGCAAAATTGGAGTGATATTGCACCGGATCCGATGCATCGGGGTATCGAGGCGCGGTGCATGGATGCGCTCAGCGGATAACGCTTAGCGTGTAATTTTTCCGTCTCGAAACGAAGCCACTAATGCATTATTCATGGGCTCCTATGCCCATGTGAACTTCCACATTTTCTTCCTCGGAGACCGCCACCCACCGTCACTCGGGCGACCCGCGGGCTCGGGGCTACATCTGCGGCTCGACGCTGGCGTCCATTTTTGTATCCCCCGATAATTTAAATGTGATTAAGGAGCCACCAACTTCCGACGGGAATCAAACTCACGTCGGCAACTTCAACCGGGGCACCTTTTGTTCCCGGAAAAAAAGTCCCGGAGTTAACTCCGGAACTTAAGTTAGCTGGAAGGAAGGGGGGCGCTTTTTAAAACTAAGGTTAAGGTGATTCTTCTCGGGTTCTAGACATGATCGAACTGACGTGAGATACAATCGATAAGGAACCAACGCGATTGTAGTGTTTTCTTCTTCTTCTTCTTCTTCTTCTTTAAAAATAATTATTATGTGTATAGTTCACTGGAAAAAAAACACATTGGATCTGGAGTCCAGACTCTTGAAAATATTGACAAGAAAAAATACTCTTGATTCAATCAGATTTTTGCTTAAAGTCAAAGGAAATCCGCTCAAATTAAGAGGCTTGGTTCTTGATTTAAGCAAAATTCCGATTGAATCAAGAGTACTTTTTCTTGACGATGTTTTTGAGAGTCTGGACTCTAGATCCAATGTGTTTTTTTTTTTTCCAGTGTGACGTGAGATACAATCGATTAAGTGGATCCATTTAGAAAAAAGGAACCAACGCGATTGCAGTGTTTTCTTCTGTTCTTCTTCTTCTTCTTCTTCTTCTTCTTCTTCTTCTTCTTCTTCTTCTCCTTTAAAAATACTTATTATGTGTACAGTATTAAAATGTACACCATTATTTTTCTTTAGAATTAGCAATTGTTTGGTGGGAAACCAAAACTATTTGCTATTCTGGGAGATTTTTCAGATAATCATGTGGAAGCAACATTTTTACAACACTATAGTCGCGCTGGTTCTTCTTCGCTAAATGCGAGCCAATTATAAAATTTTGGCAGATTTAATTTCTCAGCCAAAAAAGAAGGACAAAGCTCTTGCGCATGAATCTAGAAGATAATCCTTCTTAATAGTAAAAATTGCATAATTTTGAAAAATTTAAGAAACATTTAGCTACAAAAAAGACCGGTGCGTTCTAACGAAGATCGACTACTGTGTTAAATGCAATGTTCTTTGGGCTAAATCTGGCAGTTTCCAAATTGTGCAATTTCTTGGATGAGAATGATTTTTTATACTCCTGCGCGGGGACTTTAGTCGTCTCTCGTGATAAAAAGTAAAACTTTGCAGAATTTTGGGACTTTCATCAATGCGATGTATCACATGCTGCTTCGAGAGCCCTAAAGTCCTTTTTTCTTCTTTTTTTTGCGAAAAGTGAAAATTTACCAAGATGTTGACCCAATAGATACGATGGATCAAATGCCAGGCTATTTTGAGGGCAACTTTACGGTGAGATTGACTATTGTCAGTGTTAGTGTTTTACCATTAGTTACGGATCTATCACGAAATTTGGATTTCACAGGCAGAAATGTTGCTCCTGAATCTCCAACATGTTTTTACTGAGTATGAAAGGTGCATATTACTAACCTGTATAGAGGTTTGTGTGCGCTGCTCTTGAACCAAAACACCATGTAGACTCTGTCGTTTTTCGGAGAAGGTCTGATGTCACAGGGCAGACTGGCAGTGCGGCCTAAAACAGCATCAACGGCAATTGTGCTCACTGTAACACAGAAAAAAAGCTAATTTAATTTAACGATCAAGGAGAAATTTTGCATAGTGATGGATTTTAAAGGATCCTGTGATGGAAATTGAAACAGTTGAAGAGAACGAATCACTGGACAGGGTTCATAGAGAAGGAAATTGAGCACTGAATTACATGTTTCCTCCTCAAAGTTTCGAGAGATACTTCAAAAGAGGGTTTCCATAAATCTGCATGTCAACCCCTCTCGTTAAGGATGAACTACGAACATAATTTTCATTGGTTTTTATTCGAACAAATTTCATGAAATAGGCAAAGTCAGTGCCTGTTCATGATAGGTCACTGAATCATTGCATGACCAAATTTTGACTTGCGAATACACGCACCTTGACTTCGTAAAACAATCGGAAAAAACCTGGTACAGGTGGTCTGAGACACTCTGTATATGGTTCGAGTTTGGCAGAAAGGGACCATGCCCTATCAGCTATTGCAAAATTTCATTGGGCAATTTAATTTTTTACAGGAAATCGGTTGTGAAGATGTGTGTGCAAATTTTAGCGATTTTATGCGTAGCAGAAGGCAAATTCCTCAACATTTTCCAAAGCAATCCGCAGAAACTTTCACTTATAAAAATTAAATTTCCGGGTAAATTTGGCAATAGCTGATGCGGCTTGGTTCCTTCCTGCTAAACGCTGTCCAAATCTTACACTGGTAAAAAAAACCTCTCGGACCAATGCCGCGGGGCATTGACTAAATAAGAGTGCAGTTTCTTGTCGCCGGATTCAAGAGTCTTGAACTCTTGTTTTAAGCGGATTTTGCATTGATTCAAGCTGATTTTGCATTAATTAAAGCGGATTTTGCATTGAAACAAGAGTCCCGGCTCTTAAATTCGGCGACAAGAAACTGCACTCTTGAACCAAGAGGTTTTTTTTTTACCAGTGTAATTCATCAAAACACGATTCTATGCCTAGCGCGACAGACTCACTGTAAGGTCTACGTGTAAATAGAGATGGGAAAACTCTAGGTGTAAATCTAGGCAACGAGGGGGGTCGTGATTATTTTTGCTCTTTCGTAATGATTGAATCTGCGAGTCGGTCTGGAGGGTTCGGGATTGGTGCTGCGTCGAGGTGGGAACCTAATAAAGCGTGCAAATTCGAGAAGAGACCGTGACAGACAAGTCGGAGCGGATCAGGGCTTTGATGGCTCGCGATCCAAGCTCAACTGCTGAAATTAGATTTGATGCAATAAAGCAGTCACGTGACGCGGCTTAAACGACATCCCCAATTAATTTCTGCGCATTGCTTCGCGTTATTAGAGCTAACTTCCACTCTTTCCCAGTTGCCAAGTCCCTCGAAAAACTCCACATGATTGGGGCACGGGTGACGTCATTGCGCTGATCCTCTAACAGACGCACATAAATCGCAATTATGGACAAAATGGGCGAATTTAACAGTGATCAACCTAACTGCGGATAGATTAGCGAAATCGATGGACAAAGAAGAGAAAGGAAAATAGAGCAAACCTATTGGTTGATGGTTAGTTAGACTGGTTGTTAGTTAAAAAGGAAGCCTTTTGGCGACTTCATCATCATTTTTGAACGGGTATCACTTAATGGAGAATATGCCGGTGTCAGACATTTTAAGACTTTCGGCACTACTTAGTACTCGTTTGTTTCGTGGCAGATCAGGGAAACAGCACAGGAAATGTGTCATTCAATAATAATTTTTCTAGTTTCACCAAGTTCATTCAGATTTTTCCAGATTTTTCTTGTGCGGTTTTGTTGTTAAGCAAAACGTCACTACGGATCTGAGTGTTTCCTTGGAAATTTTAAAACCATCTAGTGTGCCAAAAAAAAATAAATAAATAAAAAAAATAAAATAAAAAAAAATACATAAAATTTAAAAAAATGCTTAAGAAAGAACTACGAAGTGAACTGAGCATAAGAACATACAAAGGAGATATAAGCGAATGATCTAATCTACTAAAATACGCGTGCTCGAATGAGAAAATGCCGCCTGATGACGCCACAAGACGGCAAATTTTCTCTCTTTCAAATCCGTTTTCCTGCAATTTCCCATAACTGAAAAAAATTATGAAAAGCACTGCAAACGCAGCTCAGCAAGAACTCTCAGATGCAGCAATGACAATTTTTCGTGCAAATTCTCCATTAGATTCATCCACGGAAAGTGTGCAACTCAATGCATAGACCAAGGTTGCCGTTTTAGCGAAAAATGTGGGTATACTCCCACACTCGAAGGTGCGTTCTATGACCTCCAGAAGCTTATAGGCTAGTTCAAATTTTCACTTTTCTTCCACCTTGGATGGAATATCATAAGGATATCCCTTTTTTTATGTACCATACGTTGTACCGTGTAATCATACAATCATGTAATCATGTACCATACCATAGCGTATACCATAGTTTCGGTCAGAAACTCATTTTGCACAAATTATAAAAACAATTAGATAAATTTCACATGGGTTTAAACAGGGAAACTCGCTGATTCTGCAGCACTACCTGGCAAAAATGACACGGTCTCAACGTATCTCCTGCTAGGAGTCCTGTTCAAACGCTCCGGCCATTCCAATCAACCGAATTGGGGGCACCGTGGCCGGCGAGGCGAATGGTATCACAGTCGGAGATTCAAAGCGTTCGACGCTGAATTTCCATTGTTCGACCCTGGTCGTGCCGCGGTGCTCTCGGATTGGCCGGACCTGTAATTGATGCCCAAGACTTGGGCATGGAAACTTCTAATGACTCCTTTCTCCTCAGCTCGCCTGCGTTTTTCCTTGATTGACTTACTCGTTCTCCCTCTGCTGAGCCAAGGAAAAACGCCGTATGAACCTCCAGGCGTTGCCAAATTTCCTTTCATGAAACGCAAATTTCCTGGTAAATTTATGAATATTTTCCTCCCAATTTTGCAGAGGATTTAGTTCAAAATTTTAACTAAAGATTCTGAAAATTTACAGGAAAAATTTGCATAATTTTCCTCAAAAATGAACATTTTATCGAAGGAAATTTGGCAACTCTTGAATGTTCATACGGCGTTCTTCCTTAGCACGGCAGCGCCTCTGAGGGCGATAACTCATTCTTACCAGTGGTGTGGCGTGCTTTGCGATACATCGATCGATCTGCCATTTAAACCTACGAAAAAGGATCGATAACAGGGTGTTCGCAACGAACACCTTAATAATCGATTCTTTACCATAGCTTCAAATGGGGAGCAATCGATACTCGACCATTCACGCTTCGCGAATGTTTCTTGCGTCTCCAGCGGTGAATCCGAGTTTCAAACCCGCACTTGACCTGAAAATCCTGGATTCTTATCTCGGATTTTGAATCAAAGGACTCCCAGGTAATTTACACGAAGAGAACGAATCACACAACTAGCAGTCTAAAAATCGATCCCTGAAAGAGATATAAGTGTTGACAATTGACATAGGAGAAATGAACCCCGTTTAGCAGGAAGGAACCATGCCGCATCAATTATTGCCAACTTTAATAATCTATGAGGGTGATTGAAGAGGAAACATGATTTTTTTCTCTAGTTAAAGTCTTGTCTTCCACTGAACTTATGCCTTCATCATCGTGGTGTCATCGTATTCAAAGCATTGTATCTCGGTTATTCTCCTACCGTGTCACCACTTTAGTTTTTTCCTTTCGAAATTAATGGGACAAACTAATTGAAAATTTAAGATACTATAAATTTCAGATGGGCACAGAGCTGCCTTTCATCCCCGGAGTGATCTCTCTCATATACTAATTTAGAGGCTAGACAAACAGGGTCACGGCCCTAGTCAGAAGGTAGAAGAAGAGAAAGATAAATTTCAATGGTTCCTGTTTAAATATGAGACGCTGCATGGGTTCATATAAGGATATATATGAGACATTTTCGTACAAATACATTTTGGGAGTCATCTCAGGGAATCGTAGGAGGTAAAATCCTGAGAAATATGGCGTCGATGCATTTCCTTCGTGAAATATGAGTACGAAACGTTTTCTTTGAATGGAAGAGGAGATGAGGATGATGATACTCACTGACTGAGGCTATGATGTCTTTGCCGGTATAGTTTCCGTACTCGTATGACATCGAATCTTTACGAGGAGTAGAATGTAAGGCCAATCCTTTGATGCCAGACCTATTAACTTACATTTCTAAAATCCTCGTCTCAAGTGGAGTAAACATCAGATAAAAGCATTAACCGTGCTAGCTATATACAATTTAATTACAAATAAGAGATACTGGATTTAACACTTTACAGCCCCGCGTGAAGCTAATAATTGGATACCGGTTCAAAAATGAGGTGCTGAGCTGCCTTGATAGCGAGGAGAGCTGTAAGTGTCTATTCGAAATCGAGTTTCCTTCAAAATTCGTCTAATCTCTTATAGATGAAATCACTGATATAGCTAAAACAGCAAAATTCATCTTAATTGTACAAAAACGAGACACATGAGAAAGCCGCGAGTGCGCAAATAATTACGTCGTTTCAGGCAAGACAGCAGTAAGTGACAATATTCCTCCAGAGAGCCAATGAAAACAAAGCTTTCAAGTAAACTGCCGCCCTCTTCTGTCAATTTATAACCTGAAAATGTGTTTATTGCTTGTCTGAAACGCAGCCACGAGAACGTGCAGAAGATAGCACTTACGACTATTTTGCCTAACAATAGCTTAGCATGAAAATGAAAAATACTTTTCATATGTAATTAAAATGAAATCAGTCGATTTTCAATCATCCAAACGATTTCTAGGAGTCTTCCGGACGATTCAAGGCAATATGACAAAGAACAGAGGCTTATTTCAATAGAATTTTCCGGTCAAGGGACTGATTGTTGAAATTGATAGACAAAGCGATAGATGAAGAAGACATGGATAGTATGGAGCGATCCTATTGGTTGGGACGGATGATTCTCAAAGACTTAGGGGGGAAATGACGGACTAACTATCGGATCAGATCTCTCGTGGGTTGCCGTTAGTTAGTCTATTACTTACCTCCTTTGTCACATCCAACCACCCCTTTTT